TGGGCATGGTGCTGGGGGCAGGCGCCGTCTACCTCTTCCACATGCAAGAAGCCAAAGGCTTGTGGAAGACCCAAGCTGAGCTCCAGCATGTGCTGACTTGTGGTTACAATCAAAACACCGAACCCATTCGTTATATCATCAGGCCTCTATTTATTGTTCAATAACTCTAATTTCTGGCCCCTTCGTAAGATAACAAATTGGAACTGCCTGATATTCATTTCTGAGCTCATATAAATTGCACTGTTCAAATATATTTTTGGATCAAAGGACACCAGGTTCAAATATATTTTTGGATCAAAGGATACCAGGTAATTATTTGACCGGAATAATTAGTACAGCACAAACTAATTTAAATAAAGTCAGTATGCACTTCCTCTATTTCAGGCTACCACGACATGAAAATATCCTTCTTTTCCATGGGCGAGCAGAGTTACAAGTGGGTATGACATAGGCTTTGTATCTCAAAAACTAGAGTAGATAGGGGGAAACTAGTGCCATTTTTGTAATCAGCATGTCATATCTATCAAAAACAACTCTTAACATGTGAGGTACCATGATGTGTGTTGGCCAATGTGTGTTTTGCTTTTAATTTTTGTTTTGTTTCATTTTTCTGTTTGAGTTTTGTTGTTTTTTTTGCTTTTGAGGGGGCTGTTTTTCATCTTTGATACTCACTCTTTCTTTGAAGATTATTTCCTATTCATATTTGTCATCATACATATAAAATTTATTTCCTATCTAAAATTTGGAGTACATATTCACTTGATAAAAACGCTTTTCCTTACAAAGCTTCAATTTCATAAATCAGTTAAAGTGTTTATAAGATAAAATCTTACGTGCAAAATAAACTTAAATGCAGAACAAATTGCTTTGCACTTAAGATCTCTGTCTGTCAGAGGGACTGCCGTGAGAAGTAGGAACACACACACAGTGCTGATGTGGCTGATGCTTATCCTTGGGAGTGCAGAAGAAAGCAAACATTTTAGAGTTTGAAATCTAGTTTGAAGTAGGCTGGAAATGTTCTTAGTTGTACATGTGACTTTGGCTAAATCCTTAATCTCTTTGTATTATAGTTCCTTGATATATGTAAAATATAAAAATATCAACTTCAATAATAACTATTAAGATTAAAAGAAAAATATGTGAATTGCCTGGTATGTAAAGAGGAGTCAACAACACATTAACCCCCATAATTAAAGAATACAATTAAAAAATAAATTTGGAATTTTCTTATTTTATGCTCACAATTCAGGGTGATACATAGTACTGTTTTTCCAGTTTTGGAAGCCAAAAATCAAAACCAGTTTGAGTGGCTCATGCTATATAACTAGGGAAGAGAGCAGCTTGGATTTAAACTCAATGTAGTTCCAGGTTCTCAGCTCCGACTTGTGTAAACTATGCATGCTGTAGGTACTATGACCATTCCATTACTATACTTTCATGGCCAACGAGATGCCGGGCCCGTTCCCTGTGGGGTAAATCTACTCGCTTCCTGCCACCCAGTCCATTCCGACTTAGAGCAGTGCTACAGGATGGGATAGAACTGCTCGGTATGGGAGCGGAGCTCCCTGTCTTGCTCCTGAGGAGTAGCAGGTGTTTGCCGAACTACTAACCTTTCACATTGCAGTCCAACAAATAACAAGCATGCCTGCCACCAGTGTTCCTTCCCATTCTTAAAGATCAGCCTAAATTCTAACATCTCTATCAAGATGTCAAAAAAACAATGTTGGCCTTTCACATATTCCTGGTTGTCTAAAGGATTTTAATGCCACCTCAGATGCTCAAATTATAATTTGATATATGCCTTATACTATGAACTTCCTGAATGGAAAGCCAGTATTATATCCCTTCCTCATAGGAGCACTGGTGGCCTTAGGCTGCTAACTACAAGGTCAAGAGTTCAAACTTACCAGTTCTTCAGGAAAAAAATGATACTTGCTACTCCCTGAAGAGTTGCAGTCTCAGAAGGCCACAGAGGAAATTCTACCCAGTTGTATAGGGTCACTATGAGTTGGAATCAACCCAATGGCAGTGAGTTTGGTTTTTGTATCCCTTTCCCACAAGTTTTTGGGTGAAGTCCATATTGTAGAGGCCCAAAATAGTTGCTTTATGGGCAAGTCATGGTTTTAAAAAGGAAATTGGCTAAGGACCAAAGTGGTACATAAAAATTAAGGAAAATAACAGACTAAACCATATTTTGAATAAATGCAATATAAAGAATAAAATGTACACAGTTATATGAAGAAAATGGTTTGTTAATTCAAACTACCAACTATTTAGTGCATATCATGTATTAGGAGCTTCAAAAACTTCATGAAAAAAAAAACCAAACTAAAAAAATAAGGCAATATTTCCATTAACTTTTGAACCCCCATATAATTATTCATACACAAAATATTCTATAAGAAAACAAATATTAATATTTGATATTACTCATTATATTATTGTTATGAGGGACCTTCAAAAAGTTTGTGGGAAAATTCCATTATCACCTAGATGAATTTTTCTGTGAACTCTTTGAAGCCTTCTCTCATATTATTATTGGATTGTTATGAATCAGTTGACTCAAAGGCCACAGGTTTGGATTTTGGTTTCATATTTGTGTGTATGCAGATGGCAAGATATACATACACACACACACCTATATATACATACATGTACAAAGATCATATATATAGATATAACACACCAATAAATACAATTCTGTATAAAATATTAAAATAAGTCTATTTTACCGATTGTCCTAAGGAAGACAGCACTGGTTTATCCACTTCTCTCTCTTCCCAAATGAAAGCTAAAATCTTTATTACATAGTATTTCAGCATCTGTTTTACATGAAAAGGAAATGACACATTTGCGTGTTGGAATTCTTTCCTAACATTGCATCTCAATAGCACTTTCATCAGTGCAGCAGTTTGCAAAATCTAAATCTGTCTGATCACTCATTCCTCTTCCCATCTAGGACATTAAAAAGAAAAAGAGAAGTAAAAAAGAAAACAAACAAGGGTTATTAGGGAAAGGCAGATAATACATGGCAGATTAAATCTAATCTCTTTGTTTATAAGTTCTGAAAGATGTGTACTTGTTATAATAATCATTCATCTACCCTTATCCCTTTCATAATATATCATTTTAAGGGACGACTCTATGTTTAAGTAATTTGTTGTTCCTAATCTTTTCCCCTATACACTTTCCCTCTAGCCTGTCCTGGGGGAAAACCTTCATAAGATTATAATAGTGAGGAGAAAACAAAATTGTATTTGACATCTGCATCAGACAAGAGAGACAGGACACAATCTGACCCACCATCCAGGCCATGTCTGAATCCAAAAAGGCTTACATGATGTATTCTTTTTATAAGGAGTTGGTAGTGGTTTGGTTCTTACAACAGATTAGATAACATAAACAGTAACTTCTGCAAAACCTTTGCCAGAGGCTGTATGATAAAGTCAGGAGAGGTAGTTTGTTGATCCATCAGGCCAGAATTGGGGAGGATAAAAGAGATGGCTCTTAATTGTGTATCTTGATCTTGAAGGGGAACTTCCTTATGTCTGAACTCATCCTTTATTAAAAAATTTTTTTTCCTGGTTTTCTTTCCATGTCTTTCTAATATTTTAAAATTGTTAATCATTTTATTGGGAGGCTCTTGCAGATCTTATAACAATCTATAATTCAATTGTATTTAGAACACTTGTACGTATGTTAGCATCATCATTTCCAAAACATTTTCCTTCTACTGAAACCCTTGGTATCATCTCCTCTTTTTCCCCCTCCCTCCACCACCATCATTAATCCTTAATCAATTATATATTATTATTGTTATTTCGTATATTACACCATCCTTTATCTCCTTTCACTCACATTTCTATTATTTGTCCACCTGAGGTGGGGTGCGGAATTATAGATCCAATCATGTGATCAGTTTCCCCCTTGTCCCTCTACTGCCCCTCCTCCTCCCTTCATGGTATTGCTACTCTCAGTTCTGTTCCTGAGGGTTTTATCTGTCCTGGAGTCCATGTGTTGAGAGCTCTTTTCAATATCAATGTGTGTACTCTGGTCTAGCTGGATTTGTAAGGTAGAACTGGGTCATGACAGTGGGGGAGGGAAGAAGCATTCAGGAACTAGAGGAATGTTGTATGTTTTGTCAGTGCTATAGTGTACCCTCGTTGAATCATCCCTTCCTTGTGACCCTTCTGTGAGGGGATGTCTGATTGTCTACACATGGGCTTTGGGTCTCCACTCCAACCCCTGCCCCCTCATTCATAAGGATATAATTGTTTGTTTGGGGCCTTTTGATACCTGATCCTGTGGACACCTCATGATCACACTTACTGGTGTACTTCTTCCATCTACATGTTGTTGCTTTCCTGCTGGATGACCACTTGTTTAACTTCAAGCCTGTAAGACCCCAGACACTTTATCTTTTGATAGCCGCACACCGTACGCTTTCTTCACCCAATTTGTCTTAAGTACCCAATTTGTCTTCAGCAAACGTGTTGGGAAGGTGAGTATCAAAGAGTGCCAGGTTATTAGAACAAAGTTTTCTTGTGTTTTGGGAGGACTTGAGTAGAGACCCAATGTCCATCTACTATCTTAAACTTAACTTATAAATGATATGTACATTGACCTATATCCCTATCATTATAAATTAATATATTGGCATATCTACATGCCTATATCTATAACTCTATAAATAGCTTTTGCCTCCTGGTTCTTTCCTCTATTTCCTTTCACCTTCCTTATCCTTTGTGTTTATTCCAGTCTATCCATTGTGTATGCTCCCCCTTCATCTATTTTTTTCCATAAGTAACCTGCTCCTCGCTGCCGTCCTGGATTACTACGGAGATTGCTGGGTGCGCTTGTCCTTTCCTGTCCTCTTGGATTTCCCTTTGGCTGCTTGTGGTCAGAAAGTGAATGTGAGATACGTAAGATGTCTTTTAGACTAATTTTAAGATATAGGGTGAAAGCAGGCCTCTGTCAAGGGTACTTTGCTTTGTGGCACTAACTCACGCCTGAAACACAAAACACATGGAGAAAGGCTGCTCTGGAGTGAAAGTAGTAATGTACTAATGCTCACTTCCTCTCGCTCTGTGCTGATGAGCATTAGCTTTAGAACATCCAGCAAGCTGTTTCTCTTTCCAGACTTATCAAGGAGGACAGGGCCTTGGGGGGACAGGGATGAGGGCTGTGCAGAGGCGGCCTCAGGCTTGACATCAGAAGAAAAGAACACCTTCTTGCCTGAACTTTACACTTTTCATTCCATGTTGTAGCACATTTATTAAATGCAACACAAATAATTGGACATAGAGTGAAAACAATGCACACTAATGAGTTTATATTTAGACGTAATACTTCTGAGGAAATGTGTAGCTCTAGGCTATAGGCACTTCTTGGTGTTCCAAACAGGAAGTCAGCATACTTGCTGACAAAGGGTGCTTCCAAAAGTTCTTAGCACAGCCACAAGCAAGGAAGAACACTCTCTGGGAAGATAATGCTCCGGGTAGAAAGAATGCCGAACAGAACATGTCCTTTGAGAGGCAGAACACCTCAATGACTCGCAGTGGTTCTTAAGATAATCACCATTAGGAGAGGCCCTGGGAGGAGGGAACAAGGAGGAAGAGGGGACCAATTGCAATGATGGCCGCAGAAGCCCCGTTCCCCAGGAGGATGAACAACAGAAAGATGGGTGAAGGGAGACAGCAGTCAGTGTAATATATGAAAACAGTAATAATTTATAATTTATTAAGGGATCACAAGGGTGGGCAGGAGGACGGGAAAGAAGGAGTTGATACCAAGGGCTCAAATTAGAAAGTAAATGTTTAGAAAAATAATGATGGCACTATAGTATGTACAAAATGCTTGATACAGTTGATGTGTGAAATGTTATAAGAGCTGTAAGAGCCCCCAATAGAATGTTTTAAACAACAAGAAAAAGAGGCCCTGGTCTCACAAAGTTTAAATGCCCACTAGGTTGCTTTTTGGACCCACCTTGTGACTACATTCCAAAGCCAGACCTTATAATCTGTTCCTGTAAAGTTTACAGTCTTTTTTTTTTTTTCCAGTTTACAGTCTTAAAAAAAACCCAAAAACCTGTGGGACAGTTTTGCTCTTTCATATGGGGCCATTATGAGAAATGGGCTTAAAATAAGCACCAGCCTTTCTAAACAGGTAGCTTTTAATCTCTATCAAAAAGCAGTATCATAGACGTGTATCCAGGAAGGATCCTTAGAAGATTTTCTTAGTCACTTAATTCTTAATGAAGAGGAACGGCAGACTAACTTCAGAACCCACAACATTTCCCTCACAATTTTCAGTAATTGAAGTTCATGTTGAAGTCTTTAAGTAATCTAGAGTTCAAGTATGCCTTCCAATTTTTTCATTCTGGTTATGAGCCCTGGAGATGCCGAGCTTATAGCAGTCCGCTGCAAACGCAAAGAGGTTGTTCGAATTTCCAGACACTCCTCAGGAGAAAGATTGGCAATCTGCCCTTAGTTCAGACTCACCCGCTGCTGCTCACAGGGAGAACTAGCAGGCTTTCTGCTCCTTGAGAGATGTTCCGTCTCAGAAACCGACAGAGGCCGGTCTACTCTGTCTATAGGGTCACTACTAGTCAGAATTGACTTGATGGCTGTGAGTAGTTTGTAATTGTAAACTTCGGATTTCACTTTTGGGGTTCGGCTAAGAAATTCTTGTCAAGGAGGTCACTTTGGCTTTCGTGAAAATGCTGAAAGGAAGGCTGAAAGGCAAGGGTGTGCACCCAGGGCACTACAAGTCACATCCTCCTGCACCAATGAAGGAAGTGGAGTGGGAAGTGCATGTTCCAAATGTGGTGACTAATTTTACTGCAAGCTCAGCTGTCTTCCAGAAGCAATATTAACAGTCAGCCTTTCCTCGTGATCAGGCCTTATGAAAAAGACACAAAAGTGCAAGTTAAGAAAAAAAAAAATGAAGCAAGCCTGTTTTGCATGATATTTCAGAATCGTGAATGCACATTATATTAAAGTTAGGGAAGTAGAGGGAGGGGGGAAAATGAGGCGCTGATACCAAGGGCTCAAGTAGAAAAATATGTTTGAGAATGATGATGGCAAAAAATGTGCAAATGTGCTTGACACAATGGATGGATGGATGGTTGGATGGATGGATGGATGGATGGATGGATGGATGGATGGATGGATGGATTGTGATAAGAGTTGTATGAGCCCCTAATAAAATGATGGGGAAAAAATAAAGTTAAGGAAGTGAGTATTTAGAATTACTGTGAGAGACCCAAGTTGTTTAAATAAGCGTAAAAGTCATAGATGCATCAATTAATTTAAACACAATTAAATTCATTCATAATGTTGTTACACGTAAGTTTCCTGACATTATTATGGATGTCAGTTTATTAGATCAAAAAGAAAATAGGATGGATGCGACCATAGTGAAGCTGACTGCAGCAAGTAGGAAGGACACTGTCGTTTACTCTATTGTGCTTTCCATATTATTTTTCAAGCAAAATGTCTTTACCCTAAAATGAGAGAACACCTTGCCTAAGAAAACAGGACTCATCAATATGCTATGAGAAAAATATACAACTTTAGTCATAAAGATTGTGTTAAACAGGGTTCTCTAGAGAAACAAAACCAGGACACTAATAATTTTATATACATTTAGATAGATAGATAGATAGATAGATAGATAGATAGTTAACATAAGAAATAAACAATTAATCTATAAAGCAGTACAAATGGCTCAGTGCAACTCACTTCCGTGAGACACAGGCAG